TTGACGTGATCGTACGCGTTGCACAAGTGTGCTTAACAGCTGAGTTTGAAATCTTTAGCTCGCACAAGCACAGAGAATATCTTTGCAAAGTTTCAGCTTTATATTTTGCCTGGTTCGCGGAGTCATTTCCCGCCAAAGAAGTTTGTATATTTTTTACAGAGGACCGTACGCGGGGTCTGGGCGCGTATGGGGGAAGATCTTAAAATGGGAAGGGACACGCGGAGTAGGAGCATGTACCTAAAATTTCAGCCTTCCGGCTTTCGTGGTTGCTGAGATGAAAGTGGGTGAAAAAATCGACTCGCTTCCGAACACACATACACACGGACGACCGCTCTGCAATATGCGTTTTTGCTGACTGTAGCAGCCCTATAACTCTGCACAGTAAAAAAGCATAAAAACTTTTCGATTCCAAAAATCCTTGGACATCGCTAGTCAGTTTTAGATGAAAATGAAAGTGGAAAACTAGACATTTGTGAATTCTGTGTCCTCGGAATTTGCTTAGGTTAGTTCTGAAACGAATTTAATTCCTTGTTTAAACATAGCTTTTGATATGAGTTTCGCATTTCAGGTAATGTTACATGAGAATTGAGCGGGCTGCAAAGTCATCATGGGAAAATTTGCGTAATATGAAAACATTCACAGATCTTTGTTGCTAGAACTGTAACCTCAACAAAACTGTGTGAATCACTCAACTTCAATTAGTAGGTTTGTCGCCTAGTGTGATTTTGTCGTCTAATTTGATTTTGCAGCTTCCAAAACTCAGTTTAGCATATGCAGTTACATTTTAGAGCTAATTTCAGACTGTCTATACAGCACAAGCGCATTTGATAGATACTTTTATATTTATAGACTCAGCTGTGAAGAAATTTTGTCGTAATGTCTCCTAAAGCAGCTAAAATGTTAAAGCAGATATATTCTTAATCAACACTCAATTTATATTGAATATGTTGTCTCACATGTATTTTAGGAACCATTTTCTGTAAAATTCTATAATCACTAGCACTGTCATTCGCTCGAAATAATATTTTCATTGAAAGTCGTTTGGTTCTTCTGGGAGACAGCTTTCCATACATTCATTCCATTTCGCTATCATTTTCAGGTTTTGCTTGCTGTACTCTTTACGCCTTTTGAGGATTTTTTGGCTCGTTCGATACGTTTTCGTTGAATTAAGTCGTCGTATTCCTTGATGAAATCGATCACTTGCGCCGTCTTCGTGAGCAACTGCTCGGCTATTAGGATCTCCACCACCATGCGATAAATGAACAAATATTGCTGAAACATTCAAAAAAATACTGAGTAATCTGTGTTGTGTGTGCTGGCTAGTTGTGCCTAAGCACTGAAGTTTGAATAAATTTTAGCTAAACACTGAACTGCGTTGTAGTTCTCTGTGTTGACAGTTTTTTTCATTTTTTTTTTTTGCCCGTAGGCTTGCACCGTTTCCACATGTAAGTTTGCACATCAGTAACCAGCACCCTTGCTAGATTACAGCCTTCTACTCACTTTGATTGTCAAGTTAAACAAATGCCAACAACTACTTGCACTTGCTCGTATGCAAATCCTCGGTGTGCCTCAAGGTTGAATTCAAAATCTTTAAATAGCACATGGACTAAGCAAACGTGGAAATTAATTTTACGACCAATGGAATTAATTTTGCACACATGGATTTGAAATATCCTTGTAAAATTCCAGCTTCCTAACTTCTTTGTTTGTTAAGTTGAAATTGGATAACAAAACCCAAACACACACAAATACGCAAAGATATCGATAGTTTCTTCCCAGCGTGCGTTTTTGCACTCCTTCAGCAACGTAGAAGCGTGCAAAAACAGACTTAGTGGATTTTTTTCAGCATACTGCAAGCGTTCTCATTTAATGAAACCCTATCGGCTTGAAAAATGTTATGAGGGAAGCCGTCTCTAGCCCGCCCTAAGAATTTCAAGACTATTAGAGCAAGAAAAAATAAAAACGGGGAAAAGGGGCGCAAAAGTCGGCGCGAATGGCACGGAAGTTAGCGGAAGTGGGGTAAGGATGTAGACTCAGTTAACTTAAAGTTTCCTACTTGGATCAACTACTGTTTAATCATCCACTCTTTTTTCCTTACTGGTTCAGCTGATGTCTTGTCCGTTCGTTTTTATTCAGGCCTTGTCGAGATAGAGAAAAAAGAAGTCGCGAGTCGGGAAATGGTTTCCTGTTCTTATTGCTATACAAAATTTCATAGTTTAGTCTGAATGACGTTAAGGTAATTCTTCGCCAAGC